TAATTAAAATTTTGAAAATATATATTTTCGTGATTTTCATTCTTTTAATCTTAATTGCTCATAAGATATGAAGTTTAAAGTTGATAAAGTGTAGAAAAGTTCCCTAATATCGACTTCCCTGTATGCTTCACCCTGGGAAAATGAAGGGGGATAGTACATCATTAATACTAGAAAGTAAGATACTGTTTCTGATGGAACCAATTACGAAACGATTGGACCATTAGTTTAGAAGTTATGAGGGTTTTATATACAAAAAAGTACAATTTTGTTCTCATGCTTATTTATGTATCTGTCATTGTTATCTAAACAAATAAGGCATTTTTTCCGATGGATTTTTAATGGTGAATCGAATGAAACCATACACGAGTTAATAAAATGAATAGTTCAAAAGTTGTAAAAGTTTTTATGCACAAAAAGTTCTTTTTTGACATTCAGTTATGTACGAATTTAACATTGCTATCGAGGGACTACTTGAACATGTAATTTATTGTTCCTGATTGTAATTTTTTTATACTGAATTGAAGGATTACAATCATGGGACTGATCAGACTAATTGCTTAGAAGTTAAAAGCGTTTTATGTGCAAAAAATACAATTTTGCACTTACACTTATTTCCACATTTTACGTTGCTATACAGACAAGTGTAGTATTGTTTCCTATTTTTCGCGCTTAAATGAACGAGATGAAACACGAATCAAAAGGTTATTATTTTGAAAACTGGAATGATTTATTTGTGTAAAATGTACTGTTTTTGAATTGAACTTATTATTATTAAAATCTTTGTAACATTAAAATTATTTGTCCTATCAACTTGAATTTTATCCTTGAAAAATGTACCTCACATGTTCAGATAGATCTTAGATTTAGTAGATAGATCTTAGATGTAAAAAATATACATAAGTCATGTCAAAAATAATACTTTTTATGTATGAAAACGCCAGTAACTTTTGAATTATTTGTTCTGTTGAGTCTTATATAGTTTCATTCGATTTAGTAAAAAAAAATTCTGTATTCATAACCTTTATTAACTTCTAAACTATTCGCCCTTTCATCTCGTGATTCATTTAATTTGATTCAGCTTAAAAAAATATATCAGAAACAATGACTCACTTACAATGTCTCACTAGAAAACAAAATTCAATTTTCCTCCTATAACCTCAAATCACCTTCATATGCCACAAAATAGGGGAAGAGTATATACAGGAGAGATGTTTTAAGTACAGGGTTGCCACAGGCGACTAAAATGCAACTATTTGCAACTATTTTTGGCATAAGGCGACTATGGCAACTTTTTTTGCCTGAAAAGGCTGGGAAAGCAACTATTTTCAGGAAAAGGAGACTATTGGGAGACTTTTCTAAACTCCTAGCAATGTTTTTTTTTAAAGCATAATTTGAGTGGAAAATCTGAACCCCACAAGATAGTTTCTGAACACACTAAACTTTTTTTTTCTTAAAAAATAAAAAATTTTGAATTGGAAATTTGAGTCTTTACTTTTTAATTGGTTCAATCTGCACAGACTCCATTGTAAGTCTATTTCATTTCTCGACCGCCTTTTCAATGATTATTGCTACGAAATTCCGCATGATTTTTAAAAAATAAATAAATTTAATGCAATATTACGATGCGTGAATNATAAGCGACTATTTTGTTCAATTTTTTCTGTGGCAACCCTGAAGTATCATAAGAGTCTTAAAGTATCATTTATAAGGACATATCAAAACTTTCATTAAAAAATAGTATTAGTTTTTCTGTATAAAAACTCAATAACGATTTTATTAAATTTGTTGATTGTTGAAGAAACATTTTTTTTATCACCAGGAATGATATATTTCAGATAAATGAATAAGAAAAAATACTAAGTTTTGAAAACTTACGTATCTTCTACTTTTTTAAAATTGATCTCTAAATTGCTGTCAGTATTTCCTAGTATAAATATCCCAAGGGCAATTAAGTTTCAGAACGAGTTGGAAAACTATAATGAGTATGGTGTTTTAAATTTGATGTTTAACTATTCTAAAAATCTTTTGGTTTTATTATTTCTTTTGAATTATTTTTGCAGACGATCTTTTTTAGTTATTGTTTGAGGGACTTGCGTGTGACGATTTTTAATAAGATAGATTTTTAGGTAAGAAAGTAATATGCAAAATTTATTTTGCCTATTTCGAAATAATTATCAAGTTATAAATTATTTAAAGCTTCAGTATTTACTTTAAGATCTGTTCGTTCCGCAAACGAACTGCTACGCTGGCTTTAATTTATGACTTTTTTACCTTTATCAGAAAACGTTAAAATTTGTTTTTTAAAAAAACTAAAACATAAGAATAAATTCAATAAGTAGAAGAAAAATTCTATCATTTGAATTCCAAAAGCTTCTGCATAACACTCTATTTTACAATTATTTTTGAGATAACATTTTAACAGTAGACTTAGAACCATAACGAGAAATCGTTTGAAATTTATATTCAAATATGCATTTTTATTATTGCGGCTTTAATTACCTTAAAAGAAATTCTTCCAACTGCCATTCGTTATCGCAATTTTGGTGAATTTTCTGCTTTTTGGGGAATTTTTTAAATTTTTTTGGTGAGTTTTTTACATTGTTTTTGACCAAACTTATAATTTCAAAACTTACTATTTCATAACCTAAAGGTCTGACTGTATTAGACCGCTTGATTTGCGAGTGACATTTCTGGTACTTTCCTTGTAAGTAAATGTTAGTTTCATATTTTATATATCTATTTTCTTTTCATGTACAATTTGTATTAATTATTATTTACTGTACAAAAATAAGTAAAGAATTAATAAAGCCGTATTGAGAAACACTACGAAATCAAGCTCAAAACTGAAAAGCATATACCGGGGCAATTAAAAAGCTTGATTTAAGAACCAGGTAAGTGAAATTTTTAGGAGAATTAATAATTGAGAGAAAATAACAAAAAGTGGTTGAATCAATGTATGTGTATGTTTAATGAAACAGAATTGTTTTTGTCTTCATTTAATTTTAATATAACTAATCTACATCAATTTTTAGTACGCTTATATGATTTTTATATCAAATTAGGCAATGATAAATAAAATAAAGAAAATAATGAATACGTTTTTAATTAAATAGTTTGGATTCAACTTTTTTTCATTCTGAAAATGTCTCTCACCTTGTTCTGGCTCTTCCACTAAGTTTTTCAATTAATATAGCTAAAACATTTTCAATTTTTTTTAAATTTAATATTATTTGTTGCCCTTTTCGGTGGCTTTACGTTAATGAAGCAAGTAATATTAGTTTCTTGTAGTTTATTCTATTAGAAAAAAAACAAAATGTATTTAGCATCATTTGGCATGATGCTATTGTTTGCGGTCAACTTAGTGATAGTTTACCACTATAAAGTAATTTTCACCAAAATTTACCACTATAAAGTAATTTTCTCCAATACATATTCCTTTCGAGGAGCTTTAAAACACTTATTTCCAAAGTATTGATATTAAAACCGCTTAGTCTTGGTGCTGTTTTAATAATCACCAAATATATCAATATAATATTTTATACCTATATTAGTATATTTGGTGCTTATTACATAACCCTTCAACATTTGAGTTTTGGGAAAAATACATTTGCCAGCGAACTAAACCGAATTTTTTTATTTAAAAAAAAATAATAATTAAAATTGAATTTTTATTAGAACTTGATAAAGATTTTTGAGAGCGACCATTTCTCTATGTGACCTTTAATTTATTATTAAAATATTTATAAATAGCGGTGGAACAAAGTTCCTTTAATTATAATTTATTAAAATATTAATACGCTATCTTTGAAAGCACTGAAAAAATATTTTCTGAACTTACTGGAAACCCGTTGTAGAATTCTTATCAAAACTGCACCAATCACCAATCAATATTATCGTGAGCCGCGATGGCTCAGGGGATAGAGCGTTCGCTTTCCAATGAGGCGAATCGGGTTCGAATCCCAGTCGATACGAATTCCGTATCCGGCTTGCACCGACCACAGTGCTGACTTGAAATATCCTCAGTGGTAGAAGGATCACGGGTTAGAGTCCCCTTGCCGTCAGGCAAACCGTGGGAGGTTCTCGTGGTCTTCCTCTCCATGTAACGCAAATGCGGGTTAGCTCCATCAAAAAGTCCTCCACGAAGGCAAATTTCTGCCAATACTCGATCCAAGAGTTCCCTTGTCTTCTCTATCGGGTTCAAAATTACAAGGGTATGGAGTTGAACAATAGTAGTCGTAAATCCATAAAATTGGGTCGGCTGTTCAACGACGGTTATAAAATAAAATAAAATACATATCGTCAGTTGTACACAATAATTAAGCGTCATTCGTGAATGGCGATTTTCTACAGTTTTCCAAAACGAATTTCCCGTTAACTTCTTCATTAATTTTAGTTTTTTGTGCATAAGTTACTATTTTTTTAAAATTTCAATTAATACATATTGCCAACATATATGAATATATAAATATTTTTTTATTCATTTACCGTTGCTTTTAAATATGTAATTAATTTCTTAGAAACGCATTTAAAGAAGTTAATAAAAAAAAGTGCGTGGTATCAGACAACTTTAAAAATATAAATGTGGTGACGCGTCTGACATAGCGAATTTAAAATAATTTGTAGTTAAATACGTGCAATAAACTATTTTTTTAATCAAATAAAGTAATAAGCTAACAATTATCACTGATGTTATCTTAAAAATTTGTGAAAAATTAAATCGTTGAATTTAAAACAATGTCTAACGCTTTACCAATCAGAATCCATTTCGTTTTCCGCTCATCCCGCTCGAACAGTTCGTCGTGGAATGTTCTAATATCGACAGTGACCTTCCTTTTTTGAAAACATTTTTAATTATGATAAGATTTTAAAAAACAGAACATTTAATTTTGGTTTAAATTAACTTCTGCTTTTTCATGCTAACGTGTTTTTATGCTTGCATGACATTTTTATGTAACATTTTCAAGCTTTTTTATGTAAATGTTTTAGAAGTAAGGAATGCATAATGGAAAAATGTATTTTATTTTACAAGAAAACTTCATTGTTAATTTCTATACACATAAGTAACCTGTGCAATCTACACACTTGCGAATTTGATTGTACAATTCATGATATGATGGTAAAAACTCTAAAACACTACTTCTACATTTCAGGCCTTTGGTCCTGTTTAGTTCTTTGAACAAGAATCTTTTTAATACAATGTGCGCTAAAAACGATTTTGATTCATTTTACAAGTCATGACTCCATGGATCAATGATATAATGAATTACATACAGTTTTCAGGAGAAAGATATTTTATACTTCAGAAACGAATTTGATTTTCATGCACACTTATTTTTCTGAAGTGTAAAAACAAATATTACTTTCTTAAAAACACTATAAAATTCTCTTATTTATTTATTTTTAAAAAATTTCAAAGGAAATAAAATTTAAAATTCTTACAACAAATAAAATAATACAAGCAAACATATAATAATTTTAAAATAAGAGATCTTTGAAAATACTAATATTTTATAAGACAGGGATGCCAGAGAAAATAAAATGTTCAAATTTTTTTTTTTGCGAATTACTTGTCAAATCAATAGAAAATTTTTATTGAGGTTAAATTTTTTCAGCATAAAATATGCATGGTTTTATAATTTGAGAGTTATGAAGTCAAAAGATACGCTCACAAAATTTCCCTTATCAACACCCAATAATGAGATGGTAACAGCATTATAGAACAAAGGAATAATGAGTATATCACATAAACTAATCTGACATCCCTGCTGTCAAATTAATATCAATTTTGGAATGTTACAAGAAGACATGTGGAATGGTCTTAATGTTCTGGAATGTGGTAATAAGTTCTTTCAGGAGGGTATTTCACGTCCTCACTGAGGTCCTGGATATGGGACGTAAACTGGGTGTAGTTCACTTGGATCCGCTCTCTGGAGTTGGGATGGATGAATTTGTTGATGATGAGCAGGGAAAATTCGAAGTTGCTGTTGCACGATTTCTACAACTCGGGGTGGACGATTTTGAGGGGGCATCATAGCTTGGCGGTTGGCTTGACGAGCGAGCAATAAATCTCTAAGAAGTTTAATTCTTTGAAGAGGATTTACTACTGGGGTCGGGACCTGCCTGACTAGTTGAGGTGGCAACATTGGTGGCCTTTGAGTGACTTCCACCTCATCACTTGGAACAAGTATAAGAACTTCTTGATCGTCATCCTGTTCTTCTTGATCTGGTCTCAAGAATATGACGCGTTCTTCTTCTGGAGCTTGAAAGAATTGACGCTGTTGAGGCATAGGTTGGACATGTTGAGGTTGAGGTACAAATTGAATGTGTTGTGGCCTGTGGTAGACTGGAATTTGCTGCTGTTGTTGAGCAATTGGCACGTGCATGTTAGGAACTGGCATTGGCATCATAAGAATGACTGGATGCATAGGCGGCATTGGGGGTCTAACAACTCGTTGCATCGAACGAATATTTGCAGCAGCTTGAAGGGGACGTCGAACAATTGGATTTATGAATTGTGGTTGCATTTGAGGATGGGGTTGAGGTGGTGCAGACACTCGGCTCATTTGAGCAGGGAAGGGTATTCTGCGGGTCATTTGAGGGGGTTGAGCGTGAACAGGTAGTCTACGGGGAATTTGTCGCATAGCAGGGCGCTGCATGTTAGGAAGAAGAGGTGTTAGTACAGGTACGTGAAGAGCAGATTGAGGTAAAAGAATGTTTGGCATAAATTGTTGTGCAGGTTGGTGAAAGAGAGGAATGTGTTGTGAGGGTTGAGGTATATGAATTATTTGCTGTTGTTGCATTGCGTGGTGAAAAGGAACAATTTGGTTTTGGGTTTGAATTGGAATGAAGTTTTGTGCTGGATGCATAGGTGCAATGGGAACTAAGGGAGGTTGAGATCTAGGATGTTGAGATCGAATATTCTGCATAATTTGTTGAGCTATGGGTAGGAAGAAAGCAACTGGTGTAAGAGGTGGTAAAGGTAGTCGTGGTCTGTTTTGTTGTGAATGTCGTGATACAGGGAAAGGTAAAGGTAGAGGCAATCTTCTAAAGAAAGGAGGTCGTTCGGGGTTCATTTCTTTGGAGTCTGGTATCGGAACGATCATAAGAGATTCTTCATCTTCTTCCTCGCCACTTTCTTCGGGTTCACTTTGGTTTGCATTTTCTTCTTCTTCTTTATCATCTTTGCTGATATCATTTTCATTGTTGTCATCAACTATTGCTCTGCGAATAAGACTAGAAGCTGCTTGTACAAGGTCTGGAATTCCAAAAGGCCTAAAGCTATCGTCTCTTTTCAGGGGGAGCATTGGGAAACCGAACGGTCTCATGCGATCTTCTCTTCTCAAATTGATTTGTACTCCACCTAATGGCGACTGCTCTATTTTTGGTTCAAATTTTGGTCTTGGCTTACTGAAAAGTCCTTGGAAAACTTTAGGTTTCTCTTGTGGAATAGGTTTGGCTTTGGAAGCAGGTCCTTCAGGGGGTGGGAAACCTAGAATTTTTCTAAGTTCTTCGATTTTTGGCCTTTTGAAGAATGGTCTTTGTGGCATAGGTGGTTTTTGAGCTTCTTCCTCAGTGTCCAATTGAGCTTGAAGAATGACCATTGGCTCAGGCTGTTCTGTCTGGTCTTCCTGTTTCTCTTCAGGGGCAGGTGTAGAAGATTCTTCTTCTTTCTTTTCCTCAACCTCGGCAGGTTCATCGTCCTCATCATCACTGTCAGCTTCAGCTAGAGTTTCGGCTAGCATTTTGACAGCTGCTTGTGCACTTTCTTCAGCTATTTGGTCATCATCCATTGGGAATGCCATCATGTAACTGGATTCCTGGAGAGTAGTTAAAAATATCGAAAGAATAGTGGATAGTTTTGCATGATTTACCAACATGAATAGTATAAATAAAGACTATCAATTTTACAATAAAATATAATTAAATATACAATGAAATTTTAGGAACTTAAATGTGACATGTGTGAGTATTCTATATTTACGATAAATAAGTTGAAAATTATGTTTTATTTTTTACAGAAAAAATTTATCGTATGCATTTCGAACATAATGGTGTATGAATTGACAATAATTGATCGATAAAAAGTAAAATAATACTGTTCCTTATAAATTTCAATCATCTTTGCAGTAAATTTTTTAAAATAAAACTATTTATTTCAATTTTATTAATTGAATAAAGACTTGATTTAGTATTTCTTTAGTGTAAATATCAAAAAAATCTTTTCCTTGATTTATGCTTGCTTTTTAAAAACAGAGAAGAAATTTACATCGAATCTCTGATAGTTCAATGTTCAGCCTTTTATACAATGGTCTTATGAGGGAAGGACAATAAATGTTAAAAATTCAACAAGGTTTTAACCTTACTTGTTATGGTTTCACGACACAAAGCACGATTTTTATAATTTATGAGTTTTGAAAAAGTGTCAGTTTTGAATATTTTGAACTGTAGGTATGTTTTTGAACAAAAGAAAATAATGTATATATATTTTTTCTGCTTAATGAGCGTTATTTACGTGGTGTGACCTGAATAAAGATTTTGCAATCGTAGCAAAATTTTAACTAGACCAAGAAACAATGAAGTCCATAAATTTAAAAAGATATTATCTGTCGGATGAATAAATTTATGACATGGAATTGCTAGAAAAATGAGTTTAAAACATATATGAAAAAATGTGTGAAATAATTTATTCGCAGCTCAATATCAAACGTTTAGATCAATTTTACTTCTAAAATGCCATTTGATATTATAGAAAAGAGCCGAACATGACGAAGCATTTTTTGGTTTAGAGAGATTCGTACGACCATATAAATAGTTTTTTTCATTAAATAAGTTGCTCTCTTTTTATTCCACCTGCAAAATTAATCTTAAAGTCAATTATAATTTAAATAGCTATTAGCATTTTATCACAAAGTATTGTACACTGTTTCGGTTGTACTTGTTAACTTTGTATTTGCACTTTGGTTGTATTGAATAAGTATGCAGGATGTTCTGAAAGATCACCCTTTATATTTGTTTTTAGAAACCTGGTTAAAAATGAAAACAAAAGTGTCTGCACATTGTAGATTGTAAACTAATGTTTACCTGAGGAAAAAACAAAAATGCTATGGGTTCTATGTCAAGAAATCTTTTAAGGCCAGTTCATTGTCCAAAGCAGTTTCATTGTCGAATGGAAATTAATGTTTCTAATATTTACACTGCTTTACCCGTAAATCAAACAGATTTTGATGTGTGGTACCTTTTTTATGAGTAATGGTTCGTAAAATTTTAATAGCGTATTTGTTAAGCTTTATTATTAGTTTTCCAAGCTAAATGTGTTTACTTTTAGTTTTTTTTTGTCAAGGTTTCTGAAAATATATATTAAAGGCAGTCATTACGGAACACTTTGCATAGCTTTAAATATCAATCATTATCGAAAACCAATGACAAAATTCGAGAGTTTTCGTTTTGCTGTCGATGCAGAACAGATAAATAAATATATAAATACAATATATTAATAAATTAAAACAATGTAAAGTTGTTCATTTTGTTCTTACTACAACCAAAACAATTGTAATATTTTAATTATCAGATGAGTTGTCTCATCCTATTTAAAAAAATTATAAAAATATCTATGTAAAGAAATACGTTTCATTTAGTGTATTATATCATTTATAAAAACCCTTCTCGTTATAAAATTATTTTTCGACTTTCTATACAGATATTTTTTAAAAAAAAAATTACATGTCTGTCACGAAAACAAAACATGTTTGTCGTGCAAACTGAATAATAGGATGAATCTTAAGAGAAAGCCAAAACTTTATATTCAACTACTAACCGTGCAATTGTTCCCATATCATATGGGGTCATCCATGAAATGAACTCGAATTTTTCTCGCCTTGTTGACATTGAATCATCCTCTTAACACTAAGTCTTTATTAACCGTTTTGTTCGTTGTTAAATTCAGTGAGGTGGAATCCTTTTCTTTATAATTTCCATTTTGTATTTCCCTATATAAGTAATTTGGGCGATACTTGATTTTTTTGCCAAGGTCATTTACCTTTGAACTACCTTCTCCCACTCTTATAAGGAACAATTAAGGATTATCCTGTTATTTATCATGGTCAATTTTAAGCATGATTCCCCCTAACAATATAACTTGGATCATTTTTGGACCAATATTCGGGAATCATGGCAGAACAAGTGCTAAAATGGCCGTTATCGGCAAATGTTTTTTCAAGATAGGTCCTATGGAAAATTATTCGATTCATCTGATATTTCATAGCCATTTCTCAGCCTTTATCGAGCTTACACGGATTTGACCGCTTCCATCTGTCATGTATCGATGTTTGAATCTAAGCTTTTATGAAATTTAAAATTAAGTTGTAAAAAATTCGATGGCATGAAAATTAATGTATCAAATGACTTTGGTTATGTTAAGACTGTGAACGTAATTCAAGAGAAAGGTAAGTCAGTCAAATTATGAACACAAATTTTGTTGTATCATAGTTTTTGAGTTTATTTACGTCTAATTTGAAAGCAGAATATTTACAAAAGTTTAATGTGATCGAGACATTTATGGCTACGCAAAGATATGTTATTGATATTACATGAAGTATAAGCATTTAGCGGTCTAAAATACTATTTCGCACACAATTGGTATAAACTCTTACACATTTTTCACAAAACGGGAGAGTAATATTTAAAAAAAAAAGCATTATGTTATCCTGATTGTATCAAAGTATTGATGCTAACAATAGAAACAGGTATGAACTTAATAAATTGAATGGGTTATGTTTATCGAAAGATACGTTTATATCCATCCATAGACATGTTATTTTTCTGGTGGAGGGCAGGATCTTCTCTTTTTGTGTCGGCCCAGGTAAAGGTTGATTAGATACATGCATTTCTGCACCATCAAGTCGAGTACGCTCACCAATAAAGCATATATACTTACCGAGTTGGTTTCTCCGCCTATGGCTTTCTCTTCTCCAGGGGAAGCAGTTGATAGTTTTCCTGTAAATCATCAAAATTAAATATTGAATTGTCATAAATTACAATTACATTGAATTGCAATAAATAAGGATTATGTTTAATAATAATTAATTGGTAATTGATTATATTACGCGATTACACATACATTAAATGAGTTAGTGGTAAAGGCACTGAGTTGTCATTGTGGATGGAGGACTGGGGTTCGATCCCCAAAGGCGGCGTGAAACCTACCCGGCTTCAGATCGATTGGGACCAGTTTGTCTAAGGATTAAAGGTGGCTGTGCGCAATGCTCACCACATTGCCCCTATCATGCCGCTAGTCATAAATTTGGGGAACCTTAACCCCTGGATTAAAATGGGCTGTTGAGGAAATGTTCTTACGTACATTATATTATTCAAATTAAAACACCCTGTTGTATCCTGTTAAATAAGGGGTGGCATAACTTAAACTATCGTATGAATTCTGAAGAGACATATCTGCTATAAGCACAATTTATATATATTTTTAAATTTTCTTTTTATCTTTTCATAAGAAATTATTGACACGGTTACTACAGAATGTCCAAACATGGTGCAAAAATGGCTCAGGAAACAAACCTTTCACTTTTGATCTAAGTTCGAATCCCTAATATCTGGTTAATTTGTTTACTGTTCTCAGTCTGTACTGACCACATGATATTTAATATTTACAATAGTAGATGGATCATGGGGTTTAGTCTTATTAACATCGACCAAATGACGAGTTTGTGTTCTCCTCCCTCCCTCTTATTTAATGCAAATGCATTGAGGAAAGTTGCCTCAAAAAGTAAAATCTTAATAGTTGATTTGGGGTTGCCCTAGTCTTCCGAGTTAGATTCAAAATAACTGCTAGATTGTCGCACACTCAGATCTGAGAAGTGAACTGAAGCATTAGGAATAAAAAAATTGTGCTAATTAAGAGTTTATTTCTAGGTATTTACTCTCATTTAATGGAGATGCAGGTTGATATAACTAAAAGTAGCATACACGAAAGAAAAAGTATTAATAATATTTGACTCAGGATTTTCATATAATCTGAGTTGGGTTTAAAATCACAAGTTGGTTGTAACCTGGAATCTGTTAGCTTTTATGATGATTAAGAGTGTGGTTGGTAATTTGAAATGTATTAATTTATAATTGAACAACAGCTTAACTTAATCCCGATATTCGCTCACTTCGTCAATTTCTTTGTTTGGAAATAGTTAGCAAGGCTTGGTTAGACTGAAACGTAGTGGAGCGAAACGTTTAGTCATAATTAAATATGCATAATTTAGATATTGTTAAATTAAAAAAAAAATTCTTGAATGCTGATTAAATCTGAAACTAAATACACTGGTGTAAGAAGTTAAGAGAATTTGCAGACCTGGTGGGTTATCTCTAAAAGTACTAGACCAATTTTAAGGAAATTTGAAATGAACATACATTGATACAGTACAAAATAAATAACCATTCAGCAATTGTAATAAGCACGCATGATCTCGCGTAGCACTCGTTGGAGTCGGAAGGTATGAAATTGCCACTGGACAATTCAGAACAATTGCCACAGGAAATGATAAAGTGCCCTATTTCAAGCATAAAATGAAACTGCAAAGCCTGTATATCTGTAAGAGGGGACCATAACCCCTATTAACCCATTTTTATTGTTTATTCTGCAACCGCTGTTTCATATCTTCCGACTCCAACGAGTTTTACGCGTGATCATGCTTGTTTATTACAATTGTTGAATTGTTATTTATTTTGTATTGTATCAATGTATGTCCATTTCAAATTTCCTTAAAATTGGTCTAGCTAGTACTTTTAGAGATGACCGACCAAGTCTGCTAATTCTCTTAACTTCTTACATTTAAAAAATATTAAATGAGTATACAATAAAATCTAAAAATCTCTGCTCTAAAAGTACTTAATCAGTTAATAGTCCAAGTCTGGGAATTTCATCTTTGGTCAACAAAGCGACGGGGAAAAAAATTGAGAACTTTCCTTTAACTACTGAAGCAGAGCATCGAATTCCCCAATTTAGCATCAAACTTAAAGATTAGTGATCGAATACAAAAGAAAAGAAAATTAGACCATAAGTACCTCTGTTTAGATCCATACTGTAGATTTCCAGAACAAGGCTTTGCTCTGATTAACAATCACTGGCATGGGAAAACTTAGATAATAGCTTCGTTTTATTTATTGTTAGCGCGTTTTCATGACTACTTATTTAAATATAACTACAAATTCAAAAAATGCTTGAACTTGACTAAAATCGCAAAAATATCTTATTGTTTATGAAAAGTATTTGATTTAATTCGAGTTAATGAACTCCACATTATGCTTTCGTTTAGTTATTTCCCTCCGATTCTTCATAGACACGAAGTTAGTTGGAAAAAGCAAAATATTTTTGGGCACAATTATTTATAGATGGTGCTTTTTGAAAAAGAAAAAAAATAAAGAAAAAAACAAACTTAAAACGAATTGAAATGTTATTGATTAAAATAAAACTGGCATATTAATTATTTTTAAAAAAAGTTATGTATCATTTTATTCAATTTGTTTTAGGATACTGCAGTCATGTTTCTAGCTTTCTTCATTGTTGTATTAGTTCATTGATGTAGCATATATAACTATCAAAAAGTTGTGAATCTAGTTAAATATGAACCTTGTAAGATGTGATTGAAAAGTATAGTTTAAATGTGTTTTATTGAAATTTTGTTTCGGGGTTATAAATGTGTGTAAAACCAGTTTTTCTTTAAAAAAAATAACGGACACAAAATTCTCTTGAATTAGCAATAGAACCTGAATAATAGGAAAAGTATGCATTTAAACCATAGATTTCAAATTCCGTCTTTAGATTTTTAATTTCCGCCTATTTTGTAAGGCAAAAAGTTTTCAACACCTATTTTTAGACAAAAAGATTTGTCCTAAAAAAAATTTCGTCTTTTAAGTTCTTCTGTTTTTAGATATGACGCACTTTTAACCCATTCCCTACCACGAAGGAGTAAATACAACATTTTGTAGTGGCAAACAACAGCCCTTATAAGGGTAAACTATTTGTGCTTAAATAAAATGCATATTTTCTACTATTAGATTTAAAATATCACAATCGAATGATTTCCAATCGCATCGCTATGAAGATATTTAATACTACTATATTAAGGCAAACACTCATGTCCTTATTTGGAAAAATAAATGACAAGGATGAAATAACCAAGCTACCGAACAGCATCTTTTTGAAACAAGAAAGAAAAATGTGCCTAATCTGTTATTTGTCGGTATAAAAACATTTATAACGAATTCTTACTCCTAATGCGGTTATAATGGAAACTTTTTTTATAGAAGTTTCTAAAAAAAAGATTTTTTTGAATTGGTTTTAAGATAAATTGGATACCTTGCGAATTCAATGATGAATTAAATATTATTTTAGAAATTAAATTGAATATTTAAACTATCAGGTTAACCTATAATCAATTATTAGTATTTTCTAGTACATTTAGCAATGAAATAAATATATTTCTAAATTAACTCAGGTATCTTCCGTAAATTAAAATTTACAAATTAAACGCCCTCCTAGAAGTTCTCACTTACTGTGAATAACTCTGTATCTCTTAATATTTCTTTGAGAATTAAAAAAAAAAAGCCTAGAAGAGCACTGAATTTGTTACACATCATGTTTTTTTAAAAATTATTTAAGACCTTAATTAACATTCAGTTTAATTAAATGTTAAATGTCATCGAATTATCGATAGTCCCTTTTCTAATACGCACTGAAATATTTTTCACGAAAATAATTTTAAATGTAACAAAAATATCACTTTGTTCGAACATTTATTATCTTTTGTTGAAATGTTAAATGTTGTTAAACGAATTTTTAAAATTCTAAGGATGGTCTGTTTTTTTTTCTTTCCGAAATCGGAAACTGTTTTTTATTCACTGTTGACTGTTTTTTTTTTACTTTTTTTTAATTAATTTTTTTTAATAGAAAACTAGTAATTTCACAATGAAATTATACTCAAAGAATATCCATATTTTTCAGCATTAAAATGCATGTTCCAACAATTGAAATAAATTTTTTTCATTATGAATTTAAATTTCCGATAAAAAATTTTTGGGCCTTTCCTTATTCCCCTCTACGTCCTTAATTCCCCTCTACTTCCTTGATCCCCTTCTTCTTTATTCCACTCTCTCCTTCTCCCTGATTATGTATGTACAGCAACTATCTACACATTATTGAATAATCACCTCCCATAATAACTGTTTTAGAGTTATTGTAATTATTATAATCAATGTTAAAAATTTATCTTTCATTTGATATGGAAAGCAAAATCTTTTGATTAACAACTTTTGACACTGTAAAAAATTTCGGATCAAATAACGGTATAAAGTACACTTTGAATGCATCGTTCGCAAAATCCATTCTGCCGTAAAATCCATTATTACCGTAAAATATTATACCGTAATTTTTACAGTAATATTTTCCTAATTAGAGTGATTCAATGATTTTACAATAATTATTACTATGAAAATTACGGTATATCAGATTTTTTGTTTCGTAACATGTCCCGGTAAAAATAGCTCTTACCGTAATTTGAACCGAAATTTCTTTTTACAGTGTATCCTTTCTTGATTCTCATCCTCTTTAGTCTACTCTCTTTTTATTCTCACATATATATACATTAATTATATACATGGTATTACAAAATCATATTCCATAATATATATTTTTAGAGTCATTCTTATTGTTTTAATTAATGAAAACAATGACTTTTGCATCATTTTCATAATTTCATTCATTTTGACAAATGATGCCTCAACCTAGATGTTAAAATAAAAATAAAAATCAACCTTAGAAATAAAAATAATTACCCGCTAGGAGCAAACAGAACATCCAAGCTAGCTTCATGGTTCTTAAAGTTGAGCTTTTAGTTTCTCATGGAATATCTATAAAGGAGAAAATAAAATATTAAGATTAAAAAAAATAATTGCTGGAAACTGAAGCCTGCATATTTGTGTTGTTTATTGTATAGCACGTACATAATTTGCGCTGTTAATTTTTTGTCGTTACAATTAAAATTATTCAACTGTTTAAAAAATGTAATAGTGTTTGGAAAGATATTTATTTTATTACTAAGTAAAATAAAAATCTTAAAATATGTAATTTAAATGTAGGGATCTCATAAGATTGGCAATATTAGCTAGAAAATAAACTTTTAAATCATTTTTTTAAAAGACCTAAATAATATAAATACTATTTTAAAGTTCCTGATAATTTGCAATATAAATTATCTGTATACATATCATAAAATTCGTCGTTAAGTGGTCATCAATTTTACGAAAATAAGGCTATTTCAAATAAATGGACATGTTATGATTTTATAGATATATTATGATTTTGTAGACAGATTATTCCACACTTTACTTTGATGGTTTCCGTAGTTAATAGCAATTATTACCCATCAATTTCAGAAAATAATCTTTAAAATTGGAATATTAAATTTTTTTGCTCTTTCTGAAAGAAAGATTTCTACGTCTTAAAATAAGCAAGCGAAATCTGTTCTAAGCTATGAATTAATATAAAAAGATACATATGAGACATTCTATATTACATACATATTATATATATGTAGTTTACAGTATGCACAAACTGCATAAATACTTTATAAGCTTTATATTACGCACTTGAAAAAAGTCTGTTTGAAAATTACAGACTTTCAATCTGAATAGGAAAATAATGTTTAAAAATATCTGGCATTTTCAAATACAAAACAGTAAAAACAAATGCTTAACTTTCAATTTATGTAATTTAAATAAATGATTACGAAATGAATATTTCATAATTAATTTTTAAAAATGTCAAAGTTTTGAAATTAATAAGTAATATTTCTAAAATGATATTACTAAAATTCTTTTTTTCTTAAGTCAAATGCATCATTTGATAGTAAGGATTCGAAAGCTTTGATGCATCATAAAGCTTATCAAGCATTAAAATAGCACATAAAACTTATAATAAAGTAGAAAATTATACGAATAAGAAAAAGAATATTAAAGAAATAAAAAATATACATAGTTTTTTTATTGCTTTATACATTATTAAATTCTAGCTCTAAAATCACCTTCCTTCCAATTTTATATTCTCAATTAAGAGTTATTATTGGTAATCTCTGGAATAACATATGAGTTTTATTCCATTAATAAATTGAAACTTCTTGAAAGTGTGCTCATAATGTGAAATTTCAATGTCGCTTAGGGTTATGAAAAATAATGAGATAGTGAATAAATTAGAATCGTACGTAAAATGGTATTAAAGACATAATGTTGAAAAACTTATGTATTTAAATTTTATTCTTTAAATTAGAAAATACATTATGATAAGAAGAAATATCGAGATATAAAGATTAAGAAGATATATCGTGATTTTGACATTTCGATATCGCTCAGCGTTAAATAAAAAATAATGTGATAGTGAACAAATAAAAATAGCACATAAAACGGCAATAAAGTCGTTAGGTTAAACAATTAATCTAATTACATTTTAATTATTAGATTTACAACTTTAAGTACTTCCTTCGTAAGACAAAGAAAAAAAGAAACCTTACGCGAAATAAAGGACAAAAATTGAAATCATCATTAATTTGACTCGGTTTAGTAGTTTAATTCGTATTTTATTTGAATAACTGAAGAACGTTGAAAATTAAATAAACTGTTTGGTGCTGATCCACATCCAATGCTCTAGATAATTACGTCTCTTTCTGCACTGTTGATTTAAAACATTTTCTTTTCCTTTACATTTCAATTAGTGTCAAGAAATAGTCCAAGTTTTTATTGTTGAAGCAAATTTATTCATTACCAGAGCAGGAATCATGACGAACATTTTAATTAAGATTTTCGATTTTTATTAAGTTTTATTCTATTTAAAAGCATTCAATGTTACTGAAACTAAGAAATATTATTAAATGTCTCTGTTTTATTAATATCGATTATTTTATCTTTTAATTATTCGTTTCTAATTGATTGTTTGTTGCCTCTAAAAATAGACACGTAAAATAAAAAGGAATAAATAAAAAGGAATTATTTTATGAATAAATAATTTTTAGACACATCTTAATTTTTTTAAAATCTGAAATAAATTGAAAATGCAACACAAAAATACACTAAAAAGGAAAAAGAAGTTTAAATTTCGCCTACCGCTATTTTTTAGCGGAGGACATGCTGTGCAAATGTTATAGTCTTGTAGAATTATCGCGGTAATTATAAATGATAATTTAACCAAATTTTTTCCCAATGTTGAATTTCCGTTTATAAAGTTTTATTTTAGATAAATAGCCGGCCAGGTTCTGAGCGGTTAGCGTGCCTGACTGCGGAGCCAGTGACTGCGGGCTCGAATCCCGCTCTGGGCATGGATGTTTCTTTCTCTTCTGTTCTGTTTCTGTGTTCTATGTCCTTTCTCCTTTGTGTGTGAATGTGACCCGCCCTATAAACGGGTTTGTGGTTGTGTGACGTGGGCGACGCTGCTCCACCTTCGCCACAGGTGCCCACTGGGTAACGAGAAGAGGGTAGCAGTTCTGGTTCTTTCTGAGGACAATAGACAAGAGTTCCAAGTGCCCGCCATTAAAAAAAAATTAGATAAATTATTATTAAATATAATTATTATTAAATATAATTATTATTAAATATAATTTTCATTGAATATAATTATTTTAAATAAACTACCATTATTTTACATAAGTTATTGTTATTATATAGTAATAATTTCTTATAAATTATTTTTTCATATAAATTGTTTGATATAGGATGTGAAATTATTCAACACTTAATTTTTCATAATTATTTGGTATAATTTATTTCTAATTGCGATGCACTTCTATTTTGTTTTATGTTTTGAAATTAAAACAATTCAAAGTAAAAAAATATTTAAAAAAATGCGATGGAATTAAATATTAAATTCTGTAATAAAGTGGGTCAAAGTTAAAATATAATATTGGTATCCTTTGAACCATAATATAATAAACATTTATTACATTCTTAATAAGGTGTTAAGTTGATCAAATGTACCATGCTTTCCTGTAATTTGAACTGTAAAATCGTGTGTTTAAGTTTAAAAAGTACGATAACATGGTTAAATTTAGCGCCATATTATGGTTGTAGTATATTAAGGTTGTTAAGGCCCATTTGTAACAATTAGCTCAAATGATTATTATGCATTTTAAAAGCTTTTATAAATCTCAAATAAAAGTGCGATTTATAAATGATTTGGGATAACATTTATTTATCCATTTCAATGATAACGTTATATGAGGTTTTAGGGACACAAACTGCACTTTTCTTTGGTATAAAAAGGTTTTATTATGATTTTCATCTAAAATGATTTTATAATTTTTTTTATTGTTTAACATTGAATCTGTTTTTAACGTTGGTATTCGGGAAAGAATTAATGAAAAAATAGCATTTTCACTGAATTTTTTAAATATCCGAAAACAAAAATTTTAGTTTTAAATAATAATATACTATTATATTTAGTTTTAAATAATATACATAATAATAATAATATACGTCTCGTGTTAGCTTTAAAATTAACATTCTTTAACAATGTTCCGTAAGGATCCGTTATTTGTTGCTATTTAATTTGTGGTCATGAATGATCAGTTGTGGAATTGAAAAAATCAAAATATATGTTTCACAATAAAGTTAGAGAAAAGTTTTGCTTGACAGCTTTTTGATTGATAATGCAACGCTTAAAAATTTAAGAACTTACACAATTTATTTTTTAACAAAACAATATTACCAATAAGTATCTTATGACAAATAGATAAACATCTCACATTTGAATTTTTTGTTGCTTATATTCATTTTTCTAATGCACGGCAGTGCTCATATTTCGAATGTCCCCCGCCTCACAAATCAGTCACAAATTAAATTTAGAATTTATTGAAATCTAGTAATATAGAATTAATTGATAAAAAAAACATTAATAAACAAGAAAGGCAGGAGTTCATTTAGGTTATAAGCAAGTATTATAATCAATGCCGATATAAATATCAAGTAGGTAATGGTAATTAATGACATATATATATAACAGATCTAACTGCAATTCAGTACTTTTGCATTTTCTCTACAGAACTTTTGCATTTCTTGTCTCGATACTGAGGAGTGATGGTGTCACCGAAATCCGCCTTTCGAATTTGTTTATTTGTACAAATCAAAATGGCTAGCTTTCAAACACATTTGCATAATTCGCATTTTGGTTATTAAAAAATTTAAATTAAAATTTTTGCAACCAAACCACATATCTTTTTAATTTATTGTATAAATCGGGGTTAAAACTAAAAAAAACAAAAAAACAATATAACTAATGTTGTTTTATCTATCGCTGGCACTTCCTCTTCCGCAATGGAATAATTAAATTTGATCTGTTTTAATCTTTTTCGCATTCAAACAGGCGCCAAAATTAGAAATTTCCTCAAAGTAATCTAAATCGGGTCTATCTGTGATCGTAAAAATTTCAAAATAGAAAACACCAGGAAAAATATCAGTTTGTGATTTGTCTTCCGCCTATGAAATGGGGACACAAAAAATTCGAATTGAGAAATGGAATGAATTTGTTTTTTCAAATGTGTTTTTTTTCACCTCGCAAGTGAATTTGAGGTGAAAATGACTCATCAACAAATATCCTTAAGCATAGCCTGAATCGAAAATGTTTGTTTGTTAAAAGGTTTATTTTTATAAACGGGGTTGTTGTTTTTCTATAAGTTCGAAAGCTGTTATTATGTTTTTAATAATTTATTTATTTCCTTTTTTTACTATCATTGTGATGAACTATTTGTGAAGTAAATGCTGGTTACTTTAAGAGAAGGAAATGCATAAAAACATCATTTAAGTGGAGATATTTTTTTTATTTTACTTTACGTATTTCAACGAATCTGGCATCATGTTTCAATGGTTTG